GTGTCATCGTACCCCGACGGAGTGGATCGTAGCTCGTATCATGAAAAGATTTATTTACAGGCCACCGTCACGTAGTGTAGCTGGGACAATGCTGAGTGTGTCCTCAAACAACAAACGGACAACCCTTCCAAATCACAACGGTCGTGTGTGCCTATATAATTCGTAGACAGTCCGGCTATTCATTGAGCGTGTAAACAGTTGCAATCTGTATCTTGAGAAGTTAGAATAGATATATAACTCTGTTAAAAGTAACAACCGACACAGCTCTACGGAAGCCTTTTAGGGCCATTTGTTTTTATATTTTAGTCTTGAAATTTCAAGATAATTTATTGAAATTTCAAGATGCATCAGTTGAAATTTCAAGTACCGTATTCGACATCATAAGCGCCCCGCTCTAATAAGCGCCCACGGCGATATTTGCTAATATATAATTTTAGGCAAGTGAACAATCCCAATTACCACCCCTTGATTAATGTACACAAGACCTACTTATTTGTGTATAATACGCACTCGTGTGTTTTTGCACTCTTAATTATGGGCAATTAAATTCTGGAAAAATATATCTGTCGTATATAAACAGTCAGGCCGTCAGCATAAACCACAAAATGTATCTTTCAGCTCTGTTTTTTCCACCAAAATAATATTCTAATAAGAGCCCCCTATTTCTAATTTTGAGAACGTGCTGGGCGCTTATTACGTGGAATACGGTATGTATCTTGAAATTTCAAGTTATGTATCGTGAAATGTCAAGTTAGTATCTTGAAGTTTCAACTTATTTCAAGATACTTGAAATTTCAAGTTAGTATAAAAAACCAAATGGCTCTAAAAGGCTTCCGTTCAGCTTTGTCGAGTCGGCTCGACTTCTTGCTATTCAGGGGTGTCTGTGTATCTGTTATGGGGTGGCGAGTTTGGATAGCTTTCTTCTTATTTGAACGTTCTTTTGCAATGACGAAGACTCTCCTCAGTATGAGGAAGGTATCGTGTTTTTACCGTAGTTACTTTAATTGGAGCTGGATACTATTAATCGCCGGGTAAGGCCAGGTGTCGTTGTACAAAGAGATCTTGGCGCTAATGTGATCGTAACACCCATACCTTAACATAGACTTACGACAGTCGTAGCGCTAAGGTTGTTTTGTACACCGCCACCCTGGTCTCTAATATGTGTTTTGTTTATTGTTTAACGCCTCACTCAGCAACATTCCAACTATATCACGTCGGTCTGTAAATAATCGAGTCTGGACAAGACAATCCAGTGATCGACATCACGAGAATCGATCTACGCATTTGGGATACGATGACATGCTTCAACCAAATCTAGGAGCCAGACGACCCGATCCCGTTAGTCGCCTAACGGACCTTTACGGCACCTTCACGGGTGTCTAAGGCCAGTAGTTCATTAAGGCCGCGTCTCTAATCCCGCGCCGGGTCCCCTACGTACGGGTTACGACGAACTTTGATTCAAATACAAAAACTTAAAAAAAAAAATATTCTACAAAATGTAAAATATTCAGATCAACGATATGATTTAGTGGTTAAAAACAACAACAACAACAACAACAACAACAACAACAACAACAGTGAGTGAAGTGAAATTGGGTTTAACGTCGCGTCCAAGATTATTGCACTTATATAGCGACGTGCATGCACGTGTATGTGTGTGTGTGGCTGCTTGTACTAGTCCGGACTGATGCCGATTTATAGTGCTAGCTCACTGAGATACCATGCCGCAGTTTAACATGAATACCCCACTCAGACACAGTATACTGACTCCAAGCCGACCAGTCCTTGTTTTAGCCCCTTAATGCCGAGCGCCAGACAGGGTAACAACAAGTACAATCTTTTAACGTCTTTTTGTATGACGCGGCCCGGGATCGAACCCTGGACCTTCCGCTCTCCGGGCGGACGCTCTACCACAAGACCACGGAGGCGGTCAACAACAACAACAACAACTGAAGACAGAAACGCAAGGGGAGTCGAATAAGTGGCTGGTCTGTGTGCCGGTGAGATGGTATGAACTCAACAACAACAACAACTGAAGACAGAAACGCAAGGGGAGTCGAATAAGTGGCTGGTCTGTGTGCCGGTGAGATGGTATGAGCTCAACAACAACAACAACTGAAGACAGAAACGCAAGGGGAGTCGAATACGTGGCTGGTCTGTGTGCCGGTGAGATGGTATGAGCTCAACAACAACAACAACTGAAGACAGAAACGCAAGGGGAGTCGAATAAGTGGCTGGTCTGTGTGCCGGTGAGATGGTATGAGCTCAACAACAACAACAACTGAAGACAGAAACGCAAGGGGAGTCGAATAAGTGGCTGGTCTGTGTGCCGGTGAGATGGTATGAGCTCAACAACAACAACAACTGAAGACAGAAACGCAAGGGGAGTCGAATAAGTGGCTGGTCTGTGTGCCGGTGAGATGGTATGAGCTCAACAACAACAACAACTGAAGACAGAAACGCAAGGGGAGTCGAATAAGTGGCTGGTCTGTGTGCCGGTGAGATGGTATGAGCTCAACAACAACAACAACTGAAGACAGAAACGCAAGGGGAGTCGAATAAGTGGCTGGTCTGTGTGCCGGTGAGATGGTATGCGCTCCGAACGATTTTTTGAGCCAATACGGTAAACCCAATTTATAACTGAAGTTACGGAAAGGTCGGGTCTAACAAACGTATTGACATTGACTTTACAGTGACCCTGCACTGCCACCTTCGCCGAGCTATTCCCCCTTCCTGGTGTACGTTCTACATTCAGAAACCTCCCCCACTGCAAAATGCATGTCAATGGCCGTTTTCCACTTTTCTCGCAATTTCTCGAGAAATGAAGCGCGAATGAGTGAGCAGCGGATGTAGAGGATGAGTTGCCAGACACAGCTGTACCACGACCATCTGCACATAAACAATAGCCAAAACAGTTGGTTTCAATCAGACAGAATTAAACATTTTAATTGCTTAAAGTTGCTTAATTCTTTATTAATTTTGTGTGTGTGTATGTAAAGTCTATTACATGTCAAAAGGTTGATGCATGTCATCTTATCCCAATAAAAAAAAAAAAATCAACAAAATGTGGCCTTTCACGACAAGCATGGGTTGCTGAAGATCTATTCTACTCCGGATCTTCAGGGGTCCACTGTAAAAGAGGGGCGGTCGGGTAGCCCAGTGGTTAAAACATTCGCTCGTCACGCCGAAGACCCCGTTCGATTCCCGACATGGGTACAATGTGTGAAGCCGATTTCTGGTGTCCCCCGCAGTGATATTGCTGGAATATTGCTAAAAGCTACTCACTCACTCACTCACTGTAAAAGACACAGAATTGTTCAGTTCTATCTTCAGTTTTCTTCCTTGAGTAATCAGGTTCTGTATCTGCTTTCTTAAATTAATTTAATTTGATGAAATACAATTCTATCATACTGAAGTACTCTTTGTCCTTTTGGAATACCCTAACAGTTGTGTCAATTGATATTAGATAAAGATTTCATTCTTGGCAATGTGAATAATAACTATATGTTCTAACATCAAAAATGTAAACATTCCAAATACATTAAAATCAGGATTATTTGAAGAATATCTTTTGGGGGCAAAAATTGATTGCACAAATTAAACAAATACTTTCTATACATGCATTGATGCCTGTTGACAACATAGACTTGTTCATTACAAAGATTCACAAAATCATGCATATCTAATATAATTCTTTTCATTAAATGATTATAATATACAATCAATTTCAATGTTATTTATATTAAATTCCCATTTTTGCAAGCTATTGCCTCATATATTATGATGAAATCAGCTGCATATGTACAAGGGACAAGGGAGGTAACTCTGTTTGATACCTGCAGCTGCAACACATTGATGATTGTACTATAGTAACATGTGAGAAAATGTTTCTAAATAATGGAATTATCGTACAGCTTTTGGCAATCACATATTTTAATCCACTCAAAAAGGTTTGCATACCAAACTAGATCTGAAAACCAATTATGTTGCTGGTTGGCAAAATACAAGCCTAATGTGGCAAGTTTGTGATTATTTATTAAAATAAAATTGCATCAATTAATTTGCAATTGATAATTAGTTTAACAATAACTTTATACCTAGAGCAAGAAATGAGAAATGATCAAGCTAATTTTCTCAGAAATAATTCAAGGCACTAACAAGTGTCTTCCCAACAAAAAATAAATGTGCCTCCTACAGGGCTGTGGTGAATAGACAGAACTACATAATAGTGTATAATATATATCAAGTGTCATTTGGTTGCACAAAAGACAAGAAAAGAGTGTTGGTGTTAGTAATCAAACTATTTTTTGGTCTTTTGTAATTCTTAAAAGTATTATTACAGAAAATATATATTTTAAGATTATAGACATCGAAACAATGTTGGCCCAAATATCAGCTTGCCAACTGCGACATGCCAACATAAACCAACATTGGCCCAATATCATCACCCTTCTGCAACATGCCAGCTTCTGCGCCATACATTCCACCAACATTGGCCCAACATTGGTGTTTGCTAGGATCTGAAGAGATAGGTTTCCAGGACTGATATGATTTGATTGTTTGTTGTTTATCGCAGCACTCAGCAATATTCCAGCTATGTATATGATGGCGGTCTGTAAATAATCAAGTCTGGACCAGACAATCCAGTCATTGACATCATGAGCATCTATCCACGCAATTGGGATACGATGACATGCATCAACCAAGTCAGCGAGCCTGACCACCCGATCCCGTTAGTCACCTCTTACAACAAGCACCTTTCACGGCAAGCATGGGTTGCTGAAGACCTATTCTACCCAGGTCTTCACGGGTCAGACTGATATGAAAGACAAGCCAGTGATTGATATCATGATCATCATCGATCATTGCATTAGGATATGATGACGTCCATCAACTGTCAGAGAGCCTGACCACCTGATCCTGTTATATGCCTCCTACTCCAATTCTTGTAAAGATCAAGTTGAGCAAGTTGAACTTCTGTAAAACAACAACACAGAAACTTTCATATGAACAAATTTTACTTTGTACAAAAATTACACACACATGAAGTCTGAAAGGAAAATAATGAGTTCTGTGAAGAACGTCCTCAAATCATTACAATGATGCTGTTGAAAATTTCAAGTATTTGGCTCTGAAATTCTGTACAAGAAATGAAATTTTGAAATTAAATTAGCTTGAAGTGAACAAAAGATACATAGTTGATGCAGTTATCAAATTTAGTTGTGTAGGAGGGACAGCAAATGACACGAGTCAGGCAGTAATGGAGGAGCTGATACAAAGGGAGGTAAGCATGATGTTATGTATAGGGGAAGTAACTCTGTTATGCTCTTGCTGCAGCCTTGACTTGTGCTTGTTGGAACTGGTGCTGGAGTTTCGATAGTGTCTCTCTTTGAGAATCTTGTTTCTTTTCTAAATCCTTGATTGTTACATCATGACGTTTTCTACAAAATGAAATAATAGAAATATGCTTGTTACCATTGTACCATGAGCATGTGATCTGGGACTCCAAACAATATACATCACCAGGACAATATTACAGTGCTTTCCTCATACATACTTGATGTTGACAAGAAAATTTTGGAATGTTTGTTTGTTGTTTAATGCCTTACTCAGCAATATTCCAGCTACAAGACAGCAGACAGTAAACAAGCATGAAATACTCATATCCCCGCCAATATGGCATGTCTGGTTGCATGCAAGGCAAGAAATATTGTACGGTTTTCTAGATCTGCTGAGGAGCATTACCACCATTTTCAGTCTAAGTCATCATCGTTGCCATGGAAACTCAAAAAACAATTTTTTCAAAACTCCCAAACTATCACCAGTTCACCACTAGACCTACTTAAATGATCTATGTGCGAAGTTTAATTATGATAGCTCTCATAGTTTTTGAGTTCTGCTCCGAAAAACAAACGTGACGAACAACACCCATTCCTGTATCACCCTTCCACTTAGTGGCAGGGAATAATAATAGTTCGTGTCTAGACCAGACTAATTGATACTGTGAACAACGATCCACGCTGTCTGGGTACAAAGAGTGCTATCAACCAAGTCAAAGTAATTGCCTCTGGACCAGGCAAACCAGTGACTGAAAGCACGAGCAGTGACGAATGTCGCTAGAGTACAAAAGACACTCAGACAAGTCACACTGACTATCCGCGGGGTTGAAATGTATCCAGAATGGTGGGATACTGGCAACTTAGTCTGCCTTGGGTTCCCGACTGGGGTTTGATATTGGAAAGCCTGGAGATATGACTGTAACACGTGTGGGACAGTTACAGTGTTCCTACAGTCAGCTGATATGTACATATGACCATAGATACACGGTCAGCTGATACGTACATTATACATAGAGACACAGTCAGCTGATATGTACATATTACCATAGATACACGGTCAGCTGATACGTACATTATACCATAGACACAGTCAGCTGATATGTACATATTACCATAGATACACGGTCAGCTGATACGTACATTATACCATAGACACAGTCAGCTGATATGTACATATTACCATAGATACACAGTCAGAATTTCACCAGAGATGTTATCAGCTGATATGTACATTTACCCACAGGCATATTCAGCTGATACGGACATTTCCCCAGATACCTACAGTCAGCCTACATGTACATTTATTTCACTGTAGATATAGTCAGCTGATACGTACATTTCACAATAGATATACAGTCAGCTGATATGTACATATCACTATAGATATAGTTAGCAGATATGTACATATCACTATATATATATTTAGCAGATACATATATTTCACTATAGATATACACTCAGCTGATACATACATTTCACCAGAGATATAGTCGATTCTTTTCTGCACGTTCTGCTTGGATTCCTCCAGATCTTGCTTGACCAGCACTGGACCAATCATCTTGTACACCTTGGACTCCGTTTCAAGACGGTCCAATTCCTGGGAACAAGGAAATCAGGTTGATTGATTGATTAGTTTGGGTTTAACACTGCTTTCAGCGTTGCAGAAGTATCAATATGTGTCAGCTTTAAGTAAGAGGAAAGCCCAAAGTGATGTATGTTTAAGATATTTACCACTTTAAGAGGAAAGTGAGTGAGTGAGTGTGAGTGAGTGAGTGAGTGAGTGAGCTGGGTTTAACACCGCTTTTAACATTATTCCAGTTGTATCACGGCCTGTCAACTTAATGCGGGAGGAAAGCCTAAAGTGATGCAGGTCTCAGATGTTTACCACTTCGGTGAAACCCACGAGCACAGGTAAGGTGCTAACAAACCTAGAAACATAATCGGGTGAACTTGGATTCGAACCCACAACCATAGGTTTCTGGCGTGTCCAGGGGATGCAACTCTGCACAGTGAATCGCGGCGCCTTAGACGACTGGTTAACAGGAAAGCCAGGAGCATGAGTAGTACAGACAAACCAAGAAACATAACCAGGGTGAACCATGATCAGAGGTTTCTGTCACACCTCAGGGATACAACACTTTGTGAATTGCAATGCTTCATCCCATGAGCCACCATGCCTCCAAGGTTGATAGAGAAACTACATCAACATGAGCAGAAGGTGTGAAGCAGCATCAGTAGAGTATGTGTATCATAGCTACCATTTAACAGTGAGGTGAAATAGGGTTTAACGTGGCATCCAAGATTATTGCACTTATATAGCGATGTGCATGTGTGTGTGGTGTGTGTGTGTGTCTGCTTATACCAGTTAGGACTCATGCTGATTTATAGTGCTAGCACACTAGAGATACCATGCCGCAATTTAACATGAATACCCACTCAGACACAGTATACTGACTCCGAGCCGACCAGTCCTTGTTTTAGGCCCCTAATGTTGAGCGCCAGACAGGATAACAATAAGTACCATCGTTGAATGTCTTTTGGTAGGACGCGGCCAGGGATCAAACCCCGGACCTTCTGCTCTCTGGGCGGATGCTCTACCACAAGACCGCGGAGGCGGTCTCTACCATTTAACGAGTATCACTATGAAAATGAACGGTCAATTTAATTTAACCAATAACAAATATCCTTTCCAGATGTGAATGAGTGAATAGTCATACACTACACTTTCCAATATTTCAGCAACATCGATCCATGCAAGTGGGATACGATGATATGCCATCAGTCAAGTTGCTGAACCTGATTCATTTACATGATTTAGTTGCAGATTAATACAAGCTCCTATTTTCTCACCTGGAATCCCGACAGGTTCTCTTGAGGCAAGGTGAAATGGTATTTAACGTTGCATCCAACGCTAATTACACTTACATAGCGATGTGCATGCATGAGTGTGTGTGTGTGTGTGTGTGTGTGTGTGTGTGTGTGTGTGTGTGTGTGTGTGTGTGTGTGTGTGTGTGTGTGTGAGAGATGGGTTTAACACCTTTTTAACAGTATTCCAGTAAAATCACGGTGTGCCAGCTTAATGTGGAAGGAAAGCCTGAAGTGATGCAGGTCTGAGACGTTTACCATTTTGGTGAGCACGAGCAAGGGTATGGTGCTGATAAACCTAGAAAAATAATCAGGGTAAACTGGGATTCGAACCCACAATCATAGGTTTCTGGCATACCCAAAGGACGTAACTCTGTACAGTCAATTGCAGCGCCTTAGACCACTGGGCTTCCCGTGCCCCCGTATGTGCATGAGTGTGTGTGCTTGTACTAGTTAGGACTAATGCTGCTTTATGCCCTTTTGCCAAGCGCCAGACAGGGTAACAACAAGTGCCATCTTTTAACATCTTTTGGTAGGACGCAGATGTCTACCACTACACCAATGGAAAGGGTCTCCGTTGGGGCAACTAGTGGGGACCTATTGCTGTTCTATACTCACCTCCTTCACCAAGGTGTTTTCATTCAGCTGGGCATCAAGCTGTTGCCTCACAGACATGTACTTCTGAAGGTCTGAAAGCAGGAGATTATATTTACGCTAATTAATCTCTTCAAACCACTGAAACTCCATGTCATCATGGTCATATATCAATCAGAGGATGCAATCTTGGATTGAAAGGGATTAACTTTTGTGACTCCAAATCTTCCATACACACGACAAACATGTATACCCATTTAAACTCTTGCTTCTAGAGTATTCTCATCAATGGTTATACTACTATGCAACAGCGATACTTGCTGTGTCATCAGGGTGTTGATACGAGTGACTGACCATCGTAAACACAAAGAGTGGCTAATGGGTATGTGCACAATAGTAAATAATCAAGTGCGGATCACTGTGTAAACAAGCATTAATTCTTTGTGACAGTGGTCCTGTGGAAAACTATTTGTAATCCTGTGGCTAATTAACTCATTAGTTGGAGCCAATTGTCCCCAGTTGATGTAAGATGCCTCACCTGGTAAACTGCAGTCTTGCCCTCAGCCCCCTGATGCAAAATAGTGATATTTTTGAAACACCAGAACCATATACATAAAGCCCCCCCCCCCCCTACACACACACCTGCTCTCTCTCTCCACAGTGGTAGAAACTAACAGTTTTAGTCCACTAGTCCATATAATGATAACTTAACACAAAACAGATAAAAATGGCAAATTTCTACTGGTCCTCATGATACCTTAACGATTGGGAAATTTGGCAAGGACTACAGGACAAGTGCCACTTTCCAATGCTGATATATAAAATGGGTCTCAATCATGTGTTTCAATAATATAATTATCCTACTTGAATTTTAGTCATCATAACTATATAGATCCAATAATTGCATGCTGAACTGAAGTTTCGGCTGCAAACATTTGCATACGATTCGTTCGGGCAAGAATGAAGGCTACAGTCGACAGTCGACAGCAAATACATTCGACCGAAACCCCATTGTGTTGCATGTTTACATCTAATGAGCACAGTGAAATCAAATATTTGTTTCGTCCGGACTTGTTTACCAAAATGGTCAACGAAAAATCTAGACCGATATCGAAACATGAATCTTGTCTCACATAAATTGCCTGTTTTCTTAGAATTGAGTTCTAAAATGTTTAAAACAAGAATATGGTGTGTACAAAAACGAATAGACTAATATAAAATAGTGAAAATCAAATAAAATGACCACCTTTCTGAACACTTTGGTATTTTTCAACCTCACTTTGCAGTCTTTTCTGCACGTCGGCCATCTTGAAGCTTATGAGAGCTCTATGGTGATTGGTACACACAATGAACCAACATCAAATCAACGCAATTTTTACAACGAAGAGCAAATGGGCAGATAACTCTAACAGGTGCTCGGAAGGGTGCTCCAACATTCGTACGATGTGTGGCATGTAATGATCTTGAGATCATTATTTCAAGTTTCAATTATGACATTATTTTCGCGATCCTCTAATTTACTATGCAGTTTGGTAAGTTTGTATGCAATCAACGCATGAAAACTTATTTAATACTGAGGAATTGCTAGACCAACTACTCTTATGTCAAGTTCCGTAATCGTCCCTTCCTGACGTTAATTGCCATACTATTTTTGTGCATTACACCTTATAACGATCCCAACGGTTAGGCAACGCTTTATTATCATTAGGATAGGTACCCCACTTTACGACCCCAACGCAATATGTAATAATATAACAGTGACCAATGTTAAATTACAATAATGTTTTCAGTGCAAAGATGAGTATTAATATGTGTTTTCATATAATTACCCATTTAATGGCATATTTATTAATTGACTACCGAAACTGTGTGTTTGCAAGATAAAAGTTCCACGTTCTACTAATCAGGGTCTACATGTATAATATGCACCCTCTGCAAATTTGAACTCGAAAACATTGCGGCTTATTATTGGGTATATATAAAGAATACTTGCACATTGCTTTAGGTGTGGGTGCTTATGATGGGGAATATAGTAATTAAAAAAGTGGTTCTGTATGAACTAAGCCACTAATAACAGGAATGTTATGTTTTTGTAACACATATATAAATAACACAGGAAAGAAGTAAACCTGTTTCTTAAAATACATCTTAAAGACTTGCCTAAAAGACATTTACCCATTTATGATATAGTGAACAGTTGTCAAACCTGACTGGCTTTTACTGCACTATGACAGTCAATAAGTAAAGAACATTTTCATTGTGTTCATGTTTGTTTGGCAATATCTGTGACTGGAAACTGCCTCCATTGGCCAGTGGATACAGTGACAGGAGATTGGAAGGTCAATGGCTCCATCCCCAACCCCTTAATACCAAAAGATGGGGCTAAATTTTAACAAGGACTGGTTGGCTCGGAGTTAGTATATTATGTCTGAGTTTAGTATCCATGTTAAACTGTGGCACTATAACACTGGCAGTAGTCGGCGCTAGTACAAACACCCCTACACTCAATGTGGCTATATAAGTGCAATAATCTTGGAAGCCTTGTTAATTTCAACTCAACTCAACTCTTCTGAGATCTTTTCCCAGTCATCATTTCTCACACTTCCCATCCGACATTCGATTCTAATTACGGTAAGTCTGAAGACAACATACATGCAGTATGTTTTTCTCATTTCACTTTGTGCGTTAAGGAAAAATACAAGAAAACTCATTTTTCCTAACACACTCCAAGTGATTGCCTGTCATTGTTGATGGTGTTGAAGAGATCTCTTTTGTTGCTTCACAACCAAAATATATCTATGAAGCTTTTTATATGTTTTTAGTTGCTAAATAGGGGCGGTTGGGTAGCGTAGTGGTTAAAGCGTTCGCTCGTCACGCCGAAGACCCGGGTTTGATTCCCGACATGGGTACAATGTGTGAAGCCCATTTCTGGTATCCCCTGCCGTGATAGTGCTGGAGTACTGCTAAAAGCAGCGTAAATCTAGTCACTCACTCATTTTGTTGCTAAATTCTTTTTTCAGAGACGAGGCCAAGTTTTTATCCTCCGGTCTCAGTCCACTCAACAGGCTCCCAGACAAACCAGGGCATACAAGAGGAAAAAGACATTCGGTGAAGGAGGCTACGCTCTGCTGGTAGTTACCATGGTTACTGTACATCTCAGACACGCCTAGCATCCTCAATTATCAGGGATATCATCTTTTGTTCTGATTGGCCACTTAGCTTTGTTTTGAGTCCTGTTTGAATAACACAGCTCAAACATTAGCTGTCCAAGCCATTATAACACTGTCCTTGTGTGACTGAAACCATCTTCCTGAGGCAAGGGAATTAACTGATCATTAAAGTCCAGTTTCTGCCCTTGCCGAACTAGACAGGAGTTATCACATTATGGAGTTATATTTGCCTGGACTTATGAGTCCACTATGCATAGTCCAATCAAAATGACGTAACGAAATCGCCATCTGGTTCGTAAATTGTCGTGTAGATTTTGGTCGATTGCAGGATTTACAAAGCATGTGTACCGTTCGCCACTTGGCATCAGCAGATATTTTCCAAATCTCTTCAGGTTTTTAATCAGGTGCTTAAGTGATTTGATGCAAATTGAGGTCCGTTTTATTACAATATAGATCGTGATTGTCTATCATATCATCTTGACAGGGCACCACCATTTTGTTTGAAGCAAATGCAAGTGATTTGAGAGGTGGAATATGACTGGTCAATAGCAGGGACATAGAAGGGACATTTAATGGTAATATGCACTAGTGGTGCCACGATCAAGCCAAGAAATTCCAGCCTGGTTTGGCAAGGGTGAAAATTGGACTTTTACAGTCAGTTAACTCCCTTGCCTTGGGAAGATGGACTGACACAAGCAGTGATATCATCCGTTCATAGCTTACATCGTTGTGGGCCATGAAATACAACAGGGGAATGTTTTTATTCATCAAGACATTCCTCTTAATACTCAGGAAACATCTTTTTGAATGTCCAACTGAGGTAGCAAGTGGGTTTAGGGTATATATGTTAGACAAGAATGGAAATTTTGATGCACAGCATAATCGAGGATGATGGTCAAATGGACTAAAATTCTTTCAGAACCTGCTGTTTGTGGCGTCAAGATTAATCTGCTGTGACAGTCTTCAACTTTCATTAGATTGTATATCACACAACGGAACTGACTGCATCATACAAGATCACCCGATTCTAGTAGCATGATCACCTGCTTCCAGTAACATGATCACCTTCTAGTAACATGATCACCCGATTCTAGTAACATGATCACCTGCTTCTAGTAACATGATCACCTTCTAGTAACAAGGTCACCTGCTTCTAGTAACATGATCACCCGATTCTAGTAACATGATCACCTACTTCTAGTAACATGATCACCTACTTCTAGTAACAAGGTCACCTGCTTCTAGTAACATGATCACCTGCTTCTAGTAACACAATCACCTGCTTCTTGTAACATGATCACCTGCTTCTAGTAAAAGATCACCTGCTTCTAGTAACATGATCACCTACTTCTAGTAACAAGGTCACCTGCTTCTTGTAACACGATCACCTGCTTCTAGTAACACAATCACCTGCTTCTTGTAACATGATCACCTGCTTCTAGTAAAAGATCACCTGCTTCTAGTAACATGATCACCTACTTCTAGTAACAAGGTCACCTGCTTCTAGTAACATGATCACCTGCTTCTAGTAACACCATCACCTGCTTCTAGTAACATGATCACCCGATTCTAGTAACATGATCACCTGCTTCTAGTAACACGATCACCTACTTCTAGTAACAAGGTCACCTGCTTCTAGTAACATGATCACCAGCTTCTAGTAACACAATCACCTGCTTCTTGTAACATGATCACCTGCTTCTAGTAAAAGATCACCTGCTTCTAGTAACATGATCACCTTCTAGTAACATGATAAACCTGCTTCTAGTAACATGATAAACCTGCTTCTAGTAACATGATCACCTGCTTCTAGTAACATGATCACCTGCTTCTAGTAAAAGATCACCTGCTTCTAGTAACATGATCACCTTCTAGTAACATGATAAACCTGCTTCTAGTAACATGATAAACCTGCTTCTAGTAACATGATCACCTGCTTCTTGTAACACGATCACCTTCTAGTAACAAGGTCACCTGCTTCTAGTAACATGATCACCCGATTCTAGTAACACGATCACCTACTTCTAGTAACAAGGTCACCTGCTTCTAGTAACATGATCACCAGCTTCTAGTAACACAATCACCTGCTTCTTGTAACATGATCACCTGCTTCTAGTAAAAGATCACCTGCTTCTAGTAACATGATCACCTTCTAGTAACATGATAAACCTGCTTCTAGTAACATGATAAACCTGCTTCTAGTAACATGATCACCTGCTTCTAGTAACATGATCACCTGATTCTAGTAACATGATCACCTGCTTCTTGTAACACGATCACCTTCTAGTAACAAGGTCACCTGCTTCTAGTAACATGATCACCCGATTCTAGTAACATGATCACCTACTTCTAGTAACATGATCACCTACTTCTAGTAACAAGGTCACCTGCTTCTTGTAACATGATCACCTGCTTCTAGTAACACAATCACCTGCTTCTTGTAACATGATCACCTGCTTCTAGTAAAAGATCACCTGCTTCTAGTAACATGATCACCTACTTCTAGTAACAAGGTCACCTGCTTCTAGTAACATGATCACCTGCTTCTAGTAACACCATCACCTGCTTCTAGTAACATGATCACCCGATTCTAGTAACATGATCACCTGCTTCTAGTAACACGATCACCTACTTCTAGTAACAAGGTCACCTGCTTCTTGTAACATGATCACCTGCTTCTAGTAACACAATCACCTGCTTCTTGTAACATGATCACCTGCTTCTAGTAAAAGATCACCTGCTTCTAGTAACATGATCACCTTCTAGTAACATGATAAACCTGCTTCTAGTAACATGATAAACCTGCTTCTAGTAACATGATCACCTGCTTCTAGTAACATGATCACCTGATTCTAGTAACACGATCACCTGCTTCTTGTAACACGATCACCTGCTTCTAGTAACATGATCACCTGCTTCTAGTGAAAGATCACCTGCTTCTAGTAATATGATCACCTGCTTCTAGTTAGCATGATCACCTGTGCTTCTGTGTGTGAGTGTGTGTGTGTCTGTGTGAGTGTGAGTGTCTGTGTGAGTGTGAGTGTGAGTGTCTGTGTGTGTGTGTGTGTGTGTGTGTGTGTGTGTGTGTGTGTGTTTTCACAATGCATTTCCCTGTTGTCCACGGTTGGTTTACAACTCACAGCTCTGCTCCATGGTTCCAGGTGATTCCGGCCGCAGCGTTTTGTCTGGGCACGTGGCAGATTCGACGACGCGAATGGAAGCTGGGTCTGATTGCTGACCTTGAGAAGAAGACGACCCAGCCACCCATTCCTCTTCCACTTGAGTCAGTATCATCTGTAGTTTGTTGGTCTGATCACTTGATATGTGATGGTCGGTGTAGTTTATTGTTCTGATCACTTCATACGTGATGTACAGTGTAGTTTATTGGTTTGATCACTTGATATGTGATATACAGTGTAGTTTATGGGTCTGATGACTTCATATGTACGTGATGTACAGTGTAGTTTATTGGTCAAATGACTTCATACGTGATAGTACAGTGTAGTTTATTGGTCTGATCGCGTCATACGTGATGTACAGTGTAGTTTATTGGTCCGATCCCTTCATACCGTATATCGCTGTGTATAAGGCGACCCCACGTATAAGACGACCCCCCTGTACACACCTTCAAAATCAACCCAAAGTCCTATACTCCGTGTATATGGCGACCTGGAATGAAGCACATCACAAGTGCGCACACAAACCTTATATATTCAATACAAATATGTTTATCTTGCGTTGTTTTTTCTACGATGATTGGTCGCGTGTGTAACTCCAGCACATGTTGCCATTTTGTGTTTACACGGTACGACACCAAATTGGTGCCTGTAAAATAAAATTCATTTATGAAGTAATAACATATAAGAGACAATGGGGAGTAATTTAATCGCCAATTAACTATGTTGTAACTAACTAGGCTTATATTTGCTTCACATTCAGCGTGTTTATTCCACAATCACTTATTCACACTGTCTCCAACAGTTGTTAATACAAATGTAAAAACAGCGGGAATTAATTTCAGCTTCACCGGTTATCACATGTAAGGTCACGTGTGCAATATGCAAATGCTTACCAGTACTTCCCGCTCTCTACTCACGGATGTTGATTGTTTTACCGTGTCAGCTGGTTTGACAATCTGCATCGAGGCGAGGGTCATTTCAACTTTATTTGCAGAAATGATTAAACTTTATTCAAGGAAAAGAGATACAAATCATGTTTATGTATGGGAATAGTTATTGGAACAGTTATTAAGAACGAAATGCGAAGTTTTAGTGTCAAATGCTGGGCTGGCTATCGGACGCCGGTTGACATCGCCAGTGGAAAAAAATGTGAGATCTTTGTATAAGACGACCCCCCTTCTTATCCCCCTCATTTTAGGTACAAAAAACTCGCGTTATACACAGCGATATACGGTACATAATGTACACTGTAGTTTATTGGTCAAATGACTTCATACGTGATAGTACAGTGTAGTTTATTGGTCAAATGACTTCATACGTGATGTACACTGTAGTTTATTGGTCTGATCACTTCATACGTGATGTTCAGTGTAGTTTATTGGTCTGATCAGGTTTTGAGTTGATCACGACCTCTGTGTTTTCAGCTTGGAGGAGTTTAAGGACCTGGAATACCGCAGCGTGACAGTCCGCGGCCGGTTTGATCACAGTCGGGAGATGTACATCGCTCCACGAAGTAACGTGATGACGGAGAGTCAGGGTGGACTCATCAATGTCAACACACCGAGCCCTGGATCCAACGTTGTCACACCGTTTATACTCTCGGATAGGGAGTACGTCACCTGTATTATTTGTTTGTGAAATGAATGGGTGTGTGTTGCAATCTGATTCATGGTAAAATGTTGTTAAATGAATTCGGATACCAAAAATCTTTCGATCTTCATACTGTGTATGAATACTAGACAATTTGAAAAAAAGGTTATCGATTGGTTTGGAAAAATGGATATGACACCAATACAATTTGAGTGAGTGATTGAGTTGCGTTTAACGCCGCTTTTAACGGTATTCCTGTTATATCAAGGCACGTCTGCTTAATGTGGGAGAAAAGCCCGAAGTGATGCAGGTCTCAGACGTTTACCACTTCGGTGAAACCCATGAGCACGGGTATGGTGCTGACAAACCTAGAAACATAATCGGGCCAACCGGGATTCGAACCCACAATCATAGGTTTCTGGTGAGCTAAAGGGACACAACTCTGCACAGCGAATTGTGGCTCCTCAGTCAACTGGGCCACAGTGCCCCCCAACACAATTTGAAGTTTGATCAATATTTATGTCAGAACAACTTTGATTTAGTTGCCTTTGTCTCAGATGAACAGATCCATTCCTGGGAATGCTTTTTGTTTGATTTGTCAAACTTGAGTTGAAACAATGTTGCCTGAATCACCTCATCCATCATCCCTGCTGGACTTACTTGTCTCAGCATGATAAGCATCTCATCTCTATTTTTTATCTGTGCAGAAACACATATAACGTAAAGCAAAAATTCCTTTTTAGAAGTTGTTCTCTCAAAATGTTCCAAGCTATTTTCAAGTTAATAATGACCAGTATTGATAAATTGCATTGACACATTGTTTCTGGATGATTCATCTGCCTGTGTTTGCAGCTTGACCATCCTGGTGAATCGAGGGTGGGTTCCGGCCAAGAACCAAAATTCTGCGACGCGGCAGAAAGGTCAGGTGAGGACAACAGCACCATGTGGCGAGAGACTGGGGTGAAAAGATACTGATGAGTATTCATAATGTGCTAGAATCCGTGTGCAGTGCACATCAAATTGCTACACCAATATTAATGAAGTCCACGGATGACTTTACATTCATATATCATTCTCAGCTCCCTGGGGAGTATATAACCAAACTTCGCATGAAAGAGTCACTAGGTGGGAGTTGGGGAAAATGTGATGCAATCTTTCGTAATTGACAAAATCAAAGAAGTCTCTTTATCATGACATGATTCTCAAAACATTCATGTGCATATGCAGGAGAAAAAGCTCAAAGTGTTTTTGGGTACCCTCAAATTTGATACCATAACAGAACTAATTCATTGATAATTGTTCACTGGCACAGACACCGATACTGATAGTCACTGATGGCATCATTCATTCTCAAGGGGCACGGGTGGCCCAGTCGTCTAAGGCGCCGCGATTCGCTGTGCAGAGTTGCGTCCCTTGGGCACGCCAGAAACCTGTGAGTGTGGGTTCGAATCCCGGTTCGCCCCGATTATGTTTCTAGGTTTGTCAGCACCGTACCCGTGCTCAAGGGTTTCACCGAAGTGGTAAATGTCTGAGACCCCTATCACTTCGGGCTTCCCTCCCACATTAAGCTGACAAGCCGTGATATAACTGGAATACTGTTAAAAGCGGCGTAAAACCCAACTCACTCACTCACTCATTCATTCTCAGGACACAAGTTTTTGTTCAAGGGAGATAATTCTGTGAATGTCCATACACTTGCATTCAATTATCTCCCCTTTCCTATGTACACATTCATGTCATCTGGTTTGTGCCTTGTGGACATTATGGTGGTTTTCCACAGATTTGTTTTTGACATCAGCTCCAAATTATATCTTTATTGTTACATGACCTAGCGAAAATAATCTAAAAGCATGAGTAGGTCCAAAGTTATTGAATGGGTTGTATGACTGCAAGACATTTATGAGCTCCGATGTTCATAGAATTTTGCCATCACTCTGTTAAGGTTCATACTCCTATGAACACAAGTTAAACGAAAAGGCAATCTTTCTTTATATGATCATGAAAAATTAAGAAAATATACACAATGATCTAATATCATAAGTTGGGTTAAATGTTTTTTTAAATGTCTGTATCTTGCTGCAGTGTTTGTAGTGATGAGGGCTAGCCATATTATCCCTGAATGTTGTTGTATGTTATATTTGTGTTTCCATGGCAACATACAGTGCTTTACAGAGGTTTATGATTTTGGAGTCAAGAGTTGGTCAAGAATTGAGATTCTGCAACCTATACTTATCATAAGAGGTGACTAACGGAACTCGCTGAGTTTGTTGATGCATGATTTATGCTCATGATGTCAATCACTGGATTGTCTGGTCCAGACTCGATTATTTCCAAACCGCCATCATATAACCGGAATATTGTCGAGTGCGCAGTAAATAACAAACAAATAAAACAGATGGGGATGTCCAAGTTAGACTGAAGGAAATCAGCCATAGTCACTCTCAACATTGACTGTATTTCTTCACATAATAGAAATTTTGATAAAAAATAAATTTAATTTTATTCATCCCGTAGGACTCGCAGTATAAATGATTTGCATCCATTCTCAAATTGTATGTGTATAGGACGACTTATTCTGTATCCAGTAGGAACCTTGGTATTTTGCAGATAGCGGATGAGGTGGAGATAGTCGGAGTGGTGCGTCACGATGACCAGGTAAGACGGATACATCCTATTTATAGTCTTGTCCCTCCGATGTCTAATGGTAGAGCGTCCGCCCGGAGAGCGGAAGGTCCGGGTTTCCATCCACAGCCGCGTCATACCAAAAGACGTTAAAAGATGGTACTTGTTGTTACCCTGTCTGGCGCTCGGCATTAAGGGGCTAAAACAAGGACTGGTTGGCACGGAGTCAGTATACTGTGTCTGAGTGGGGTATTCATGTTAAACTGTGGCATGGTATCTCTGTGTGCTAGCACAGTAAATCGGCATCAGTCCGGACTAGTACCAACAGCCACACACACACACACATACACGTGCATGCACGTCGCTATATAAGTGCAATAATCTTGGACGCTACGTTAAACCCCATACGATTGCGTATTATACGCGAATATAAAAGTCTTGTGTATATTGATCAATCGGAAAGAGTGCTAATTGGGATTGTTCACTTGCTAATTTGTGAGCAATTATAGCCATGGGCGCTTTTAAGAGCGGGGCGCTTATTACGTCAAATACGGTATGTGCCCACATGATCTAATGCAAGAAATCAGCAAAACGTTTCGATATTTTAATAAAAGCTATCAGGCACGTTCATATAAATATGAACAAGTTTATGTTATTTATTATGTTGATGTTGTTGATGTCTACCATGTTGATGTTATTGAGTGAGCGAGTGAGTGAGTTTGGTTTTATGCCGCTTTTAGCAATATTCCAGCGATATCACGGCGGGGGACACCAGAAATGGGCTTCACACATTGTACCCATGTCGGGATTCGAACCCAGGTCTTCGGTGTGACGAGCGAACGCTTTAACCTCTTGGCTACCCGACCGCCCTTTATGTTATTGTTGATGTTGTCGATGTCTACCATGTTGATGTTATTGTTGATGTTGTAGCGCAACCCATTCATGCCAAAGGGGAACCACAACACGTCGGGGTACTGGTTGTACCGGAGTGTCACCGAGATGTCCGAGGCAGCTGGTACCGCGTCAGTCTTCATTGATGCAGACAGATGTGAGTAGTTACCATAGCTTTCGTCATCTTCCACGACCGCTGTGGTCTAGTGGTAGAGTGTCCGCCCGGAGAGCGGAAGGTCCGGGGTTCCACCATAAGAAAAGATGTTAAAAGATGGTACTTGTTGTTACCCTGTCTGGTGCTCGGCATTAAGGGGCTAAAACAAGGACTGGTCGGCTTGGAGTCAATATACTGCACCTGAGTGGGGTATTCATGTTAAACTGCGGCATGGTATCTCAGTGAGCTAGCACTATAAATCAGCATTAGTCTGGACAAGTACAAGCAGCCACACAAACACACACGTACATGCACGCCGCTATATAAGTGCAATAATCTTGGACGTGACGTTAAACCCAATTTCACCCCACACATCATATTCCAGAGGCAAGAGAGTTAACTGACCATAAAAGTCCAGTTTCCACCTAGGCTGGAATTATAGAGTTACATTTTGGCTGGACCAACGAGTCTATGCATAGTCCAATCAAAATCCCATAGCTAAATCGACAACTGTGCAAATTTCGGTCGAATGCAGGATCTGCAGAGCATGCGTACCTTCAACTTGGCGTCAACAGATATTTTCCAAATCTTTTCATGTTTTAATCAAGGTGCTCACATGATTTGATGCACAAAGTAAGACCTGTTTTATCACAAAATAGATTTTGATTATTGATCAGATCGTCTTGCCTCAAGAAGTTAGAATATTGTCGGGTGTGGCAATAAACAGCAAACAAATAAAACATTTCAACCATGTCACTGGTTATTGAAGCCTTGTAAGCAGAACCTCAAAGTATTTGTTTGAGCGGCCTGCCACTCACTCACTCACTCACTCACTCTGTCTCCTTGTATTGGCAGACAGCACAGTGAATGGAGGACCGGTTGGAGGTCAGACGAGGGTCACCCTCAGGAACGAACACATGTCATACATCATCACATGGTAAGTAAAAAATCTCATTGCCCTACTTGTTGACACAGGGGTGGTGGGGTACAAATAACTAGCAGGTTCCAGTGCTGACTGGTCAAACTGAAGATAGTATATCAATTATGCAAATGGACAGAATGCATGATGGCGCTCCTTGGTGTTGCTACAATGCATGATGGCGCTTCTTTGTGTTCCTGCTAGAATGCATGATGGCACTCCTTGGTGTTGCTACAATGCATAATGGCGCTTCTTTGTGTTCCTGCTAGAATGCATGATGGCGCTCCTTGGTGTTGCTACAATGCATGATGGCGGCTTCTTTGTGTTCCTGCTAGAATGCATGATGGCATTCCTTGGTGTTCTTGGTAGAATGCATGATGGCACTCCTTGGTGTTCTTGGTAGAATGCATGATGGCACTCCTTGGTGTTCTTGGTAGAATGCACGATGGCACTCCTTGGTGTTCTTGGTAGAATGCACGATGGCACTCCTTGGTGTTCTTGGTAGAATGCACGATGGCACTCCTTGGTGTTCTTGGTAGAATGCACGATGGCACTCCTTGGTGGTCTTGGTAGAATGCACGATGGCGCTCCTTGGTGTTCTTGGTAGAATGCACGATGGCACTTCTTGGTGTTCTTGGTAAAATGCACGATGGCACTCCTTGGTGTTCTTGGTAGAATGCACGATGGCACTCCTTGGTGTTCTTGGTAGAATGCACGATGGCACTCCTTGGTGTTCTTGGTAGAATGCACGATGGCACTCCTTGGTGTTCTTGGTAGAATGCACGATGGCACTCCTTGGTGTTCTTGGTAGAATGCACGATGGCACTCCTTGATGTTCTTGGTAGAATGCATGATGGCACTCCTTGGCGTTCTTGGTAGAATGCACGATGGCACTCTTTGGTGTTCTTGGTAGAATGCACGATGGCACTCCTTGGTGTTCTTGGTAGAATGCACGATGGCACTCCTTGGTGTTCTTGGTAGAATGCACGATGGCACTCCTTGGTGTTCTTGGTAGAATGCACGATGGCACTCCTTGGTGTTCTTGGTAGAATGCAAGATGGCACTCCTTGGTGTTCTTTGAAGAATGCACGATGGCCTTCCTTGGTGTTCTTTGTAGAATGCATGATGGCACTCCTTGGCGTTCTTGGTAGAATGCACGATGGCACTTCTTGGTGTTCTTGGTAGAATGCACGATGGCGCTCCTTGGTGTTCTTGGTAGAATGCACGATGGCACTCCTTGGTGTTCTTGGTAGAATGCACGATGGCACTCCTTGGTGTTCTTGGTAGAATGCACGATGGCACTCCTTGGTGTTCTTGGTAGAATGCACGATGGCACTCCTTGGTGTTCTTGGTAGAATGCACGATGGCCCTCCTTGGTGTTCTTGGTAGAATGCATGATGGCACTCCTTGTCGTTCTTGGTAGAATGCACGATGGCACTCTTTGGTGTTCTTTGTAGAATGCACGATGGCCCTCCTTGGTGTTCTTGGTAGAATGCACGATGGCACTCCTTGGTGTTCTTGGTAGAATGCACGATGGCACTCCTTGGTGTTCTTGGTAGAATGCATGATGGCACTCCTTGGTGTTCTTGGTAGAATGCACGATGACACTCCTTGGTGTTCTTGGTAGAATGCACAATGGCACTCCTTGGTGTTCTTGGTAGAATGCACGATGGCACTCCTTGGTGTTCTTGGTAGAATGCACGATGGCACTCCTTGGTGTTCTTGGTAGAATGCACGATGGCACTCCTTGGTGTTCTTGGTAGAATGCACGATGGCACTCCTTGGTGTTCTTGGTAGAATGCACGATGGCACTCCTTGGTGTTCTTGGTAGAATGCACGATGGCACTCCTTGGTGTTCTTGGTAGAATGTTCAATGGTACTCCATATTCTTTGGCCCAATCTATGTGTGTACTCTTGCAAATTCTTGGGCCCAATCTATGTGTGTGATATTGCAAATTCTTGGGCCTAATCTTTGTGTGTACTCTTGCATATCTTTGGCCCAATCCATGTGTGTACTCTTGCAAATTCTTGGACCCTACTTACATGTGAATCCTCCTGCAGGTTCTCCTTGGGCCTCATCACCCTGGGCATGTGGTACCGCCGCTACTACCGACCTCCCCCTCCAGAGAGTGCCTTCACCTACATCAAGAAGCAGCGGTAAACCAACACGATGTCGCCTAGCATATGTTTGTATATACAACCAAGTAAACCAACACGATGTTGCCTAGCATACCTGTGTATATACAACCCAGTTAACCAACACGATGTCCCTATCATGCCTGTGGATCTACAAGTCAGGATGAAGTGTTAACAGAAGCCGGTCCAGGATTTTGAAAAAGGGGTGTGTGTGCACATAATACCCAAGTCACAAAGTGGTACCGAGGGGGCAGTTAACATGTAAAGTGTCTGAGCACCCCCTGGTCCCTGCTCTGTATCTGCCAGTTGTGAGGCCTGGTTCAACTGCTTGGTTTGCAGATCAGCTGGATCAAACTTTAACAAATGTGGGATGACAAAAATTTTTGAAATCAGTCTTTTCTTTCTGCTGGTTGGGGGTTGGGGGTCCCTTAGTCATGCCATAAACTTATGATCATATACTAGCCAGGAAACTAACACAATTTCCCTCAGAATACATGTATATATTTATCTGCAAGCCAGTGCCAGGCCTAGTGGCTGCTTTTTGATCCTCTGGCCTACAACTGTATGATGAACCAAGTCTATTGTCTTAATTAATGTCAACTAAGTAACTTATTTCTGTCATGAAACAAATGCCAAAGAGGTTATTGTAGAAGGGACAAAAAATCTTTCTTTCATTTTTATCTTTCTAATTTTCACCTCAATGACAACTCTGAGATGAATCAAAACGATTTGAAATTGTAGTTTTGAATTGACTATGGTCTTGAACATATAATATGAAAACTGGGACAGGAAAAAGGTGTTATGGCAGCATTTGTGTGACAATACATGGACTGACTCTCAAAGGCCTAGGTAGATACAACTGTGTGATGTGTGCAAATCTCTGAGAAGAGTCTGTAACCATGACTACGAGGTCATCAGATAGTGCCATGGCCATTACCACTGGCTATGGGTGGCAGCTTTGTGAAAACATTCTAATTGATAAACCGGTTCTAGCAGTTGGTGTGTACATAAAATACATTTAATGAATGTGGAATAAAGTTTGTAAATCAAGTTATTGTACTTTGTTCTTTTTTCTTCTGCTGACTCTGGAGCAAAAACAGTCCCTGGTTCCCATGCTTGTCTCCCTGTGGGTGTTCCAGGGCAGAATAGGTCCTCAGAGCCCAATGCTTGTCTCCCTGTGGGTGTTCCAGGGCAGAATAGGTCCTCAGAGCCCAATGCTTGTCTTCCTGTGAGTGTTCCAGGGCAGAATAGGTCCTCAGAGCTCAATGCTTGTCTCCCTGTGGGTGTTCCAGGGCAGAATAGGTCCTCAGAGCCCAATGCTTGTTTCCCTGTGGGTGTTCCAGGGCAGAATAGGTCCTCAGCACCCAATGCTTGTCTCCCTGTGGGTGTTCCAGGGCAGAATAGGTCCTCAGCCCCTAATGCTTGTCTCCCTGTGGGTGTTCCAGGGCAGAATAGGTCCTCAGCCCCCAATGCTTGTCTACCTGTGGGTGTTCCAGGGCAGAATAGGTCTTCAGTTACGCTTACTTGTCACAAGAGGTGACTAGTGAGTATCGGGTGGTTACAAGGTGCGACTATGGCTTACTCACTCACTCTTTGATCTGGAAGAGGGTTTGACTGATTATGGTCACTCTCAATCGCAATACTCAGGCGGTTCCAGGGTAGAAATGGTCCGCAGTATCCTATGCTTGTGTAGCCGGGGGGTGGTGCTAACTCTGAATGAGTTATAGCCACATAAGTACCACCCACTTATAACCCCCCTTAGATTCATTCTATACATATATATATACATGTTCATCTATTATCACCATCACTTCATTCTGTGTTCATTATATGTTCATTATATGTTGTCCTTGTCTGCAGTTGAATGTCAGCCAACTAACACCAACCTGATACCCTTTTGCAGCCTCTGTAATTTCTCCAGCTTCACCTGGACTTCCCCCTATCTATTTTTAGATATGTCCACCACTTTATGTGACTGAAGCATCTTGACTTCCTTTAATACCTGTCAGATGCTACCTTTCTTTTGATTGGCCCTTTGGTCCACTTCTTTAACTTCCTTTCTCACCTGCCCTCCTCATGCATTCTGCATGAACTCTTTATGGAGGGAGGACTCTTGTTTACAGCTTCCCTCCCACCATCTACTCCAAAAGAATAAATATCATCATCATCTTCAAGAACTGCCTCATGTTTTGACTAGCAACCCAGTGGCTGGACACATGACACCACGCCCGGCTCCACTTGCGGCAACATAAATGTTCATTCTCGTTGATTATGTGGTAACCAGTGGTATGTTTGTTGCTCATAATATCAACCACTGGCTTGATAGTCCTGAATTGATTATTCACAGGCTGCCATGATATGGTTGGAATATTGCAGAGTGCAGCATGAAACAAAACAAGAACCAGCCAATCAGACATCACATTTACCTGACAATGTGATATAAATATACAGTAAACTACGGTTATAACGAACAGGCTTATAACGAACTGACGGATATAACGAACTTACTTTTTGGTCCCGACTGTAGTTATACTGTATATATGCTTATAACGAACTACGGTTATAACGAACTAAAATTAGTAGTCCCTTTGAGTTCGTTATAACCGCACTTTACTGTAACACCATTCAAAGCCCTGTTTAACCAAAATCACACATAAAATACACAAGTACGATCTAGCTCCAACATGGTGAATACAGTTGCATCGTAAATTATGTAGCATCGCAAAACAGAAGAGTAACATCTTTGTTCACAATGTGCGTCCGTTCAACCAGCAGTTAGAGGGTATCAGGTAGTATGGTAAGACGAAAACCATAGAACCGAAGATGAAGAAAAGAAGATAAACAACAATATACACTGTTACTCAATGCAATGATAAAAGTTAGGAAGAGGTAGCAGTGTCCTTCACTTGTTTGCACTGTCAGTGTTCATTCATAATGTCATATGCTTGTCGTAAGAGACGACTAACGGGATCGGCAGGTCAGGCTGGCTGACCTGGTTGATCCCCATTGCGTGAATCGATGCTCATGATGTCAATTACTGGATTAGCCGGTCCAGACTCGATTATTTACAGACCGCCGTCATATAGCTGGAATATTGCTGAGTGCGGCCTCAAACAACAAACAAACAAACAAACATTCTTAATGTGAACACAATGTCAAGCCTGTCGAACTCAACAATCACGCCCTATTGGATTCCCCCAGTGTTGACATTCAACAATGGAGACAGGCCAAATTAGAGCATGGGCGAGAACCCATACATCAACATGTGTAACGAATTAAGAATAAAGCCGAAATGTGCCCCATACAAGACTGGAAACTGTCCCACTTTCGAATTTTAATTGTATTAAAAATAATATAAAAATGAAATATATCTTCCCCTCTTCCTGGTATGTTTCGAATGCATAAACACAGGGACTTGTTTATAATTTTGGGACAATGTTTTACATAATGATTTTGTTTGAATTCCGTTTGCATGTTCAAAGTTATATGAGACGTGATTTCTATTTTATTTAATGAAATGAAGCCTGCTTAAGTCTACATCTGCACTCGAACACTGTTTACTTTGTTGAGGGTATACACTGATTTCTACCGTCATTTCTAAAACGTATTGCAACATTATTCTAATAACTCCGCCAGGATGAAAGCGAACCCCATGCAAGATTGAAATATCTTTATCTTGGCGTCCCTGTATCGGGGGAACGCTTGACCCCCGGCCTATTCAGTCATGATTGGAATCTAAATTTATGGGGATAATAAAACGGGACTTTCTAAGACCCAAAGCGACGACGTGGGTATCGCATATACAAAATACAAACACATAACGTTATTGAAACCCGTCCCTGACTAAAGCGATATCCATTGATCCGATATACTCAGCTCTGTTAAAAGGCCTGTATAACGACCGTTTGCTAAAATCTTAAAGGGGTGGATAGAGGTGTGCTGTGCTTGGAGGCGGGTAGATTCGCCGATAAGTGGGGTCAGCCCTGAAAGGAAAGGTGGTCTGAGAAGGGGTGTTACTTTTACCCCGTCTCTCTTAGTTACAGCGAGGTGATAGTGTGTCGGGACCAATACCTACTGGCGGACTATAGATACAAGTAAGTAATTACTCATTTTACGTTATAATAATGAATGTTTTAAGGGTAGTGTGACATAATCTGATTGGTAACGTGGAAAGCTTGATATTTGTCATTAACTGGTCGTGAAAGTGATCATTTAACACTTGGTGCCCTACACTTATTTATTGAGGTTATTTTGAGAAATGATCAAGATATTACGCTGAGTCCCTCCTTCTAGGTAACGGTGTCGAGAATGTTCTCAATGAGAATTACGAGTGAGTATAAAATAACCATAATGACACAATACGTTGAATATTATTTTTTAATCCATTCGTCCATCCACACTATGAGTTGTGAGGCAGTTTTGTGTCATGTTGTCTTGTTCACGGCATAGGTGTATACTAACTGTGGAAGGATTTGATTCTGACCAGGCATGTATGTATATTTCGTGTATATCACAAACTTAATTTGAGGTGAAAAGGGGTTTAACGTCGCGTTCAAGATGTTTGACCTCATATAGCGATATGCATGCACGTGTGTGTGTAGCTGCTTTCACTAGTCTAGACTTACGCCGGTTTTTCTACCACTCGCCAACTAAGATACCTCGCCGCAGTTTAACATGGTACTCCACTCAGTCTGTGCGACTCGCTGTGCAGAGTTGCGTCCCTTGGGCACACCAGAAATCTATGATTGTGGGTTCGAATCCCGGTTTGCCCCTATTATGTTTCTAGGTTTGTCAGCACCATACCCCTGCTCGTGGGTTTCACCGAAGTGATAAACGTCTGAGACCTGCGTCACTTCGGGCTTTCCTCCCACATTAAGCTGACACGCCGCGATATAACTGGAATACTGTTAAAAGCGGCGTTAACCCAACTCACTCACTCACTCAGTCTGTACTGACTTCGAGCCGACCAGTCCTTGTCCATCCCCTCTAATGTCGAACGCTAGGCATGATAACAACAAGCACCATCTTATGACGCGGCCATGGGATCGAACCATATACCCTCTGCTCTCCAGGCAGACCCCTATCAACTACACCCCTGAGTCTCATCAGCTAAAGAAACAGCAACACATATAGCAATGTTAATGGCATATATTAGTTCTTAAAAAAAACACACGGTGCCATCATTTAGATTTGAAATAGATTTATTTAAGAGTGATTCAAGATATAAAACGTGACTTTGGAATTAACGTCATTGTTTGTTGTTAATCTACCTAAAAATACGTCATTAAAATATATCTGAATCTCAGCCTAGTAATTACAGTTTACTCAGTCACGGTGAGGCCTGTAGCTCTGTTATTCTCAGTCAACAACAACAACAACAACAACAACAACAACAACAACAACAACAACATCATCAATGATAATACTTAAAATAATAATATGTTATTTGAATTGTAATGAGACTGTCCAACACATTGTCAGTGGATGCCCAGCTTTGGCACAAACACAGTATCTTAAGCGACACGATGGTGTGGTTGATTATTTTATTACCGTCTTCGCAAAATGCTTGTGATTTGAGGTCCATCCATGGTACGACCCAGGATATGTAGGGGCGCCATTGAAAATGATAAATACAAAATTCTTTGGATTAGGCCCTTAGACGTATCCAGGCCAACAAACCTGATCTTGTCCTTTTTTTTAAATCCAGTGAAATCATTTATATTATTGAATTTTCTGTCCCTTTTGACACTAATATGATTGACAAGATTGAGGAAAAATACGGCAAATATGCAGACCTTGCTTTGGAAACGTCACGCTTGCAACCAAAGTACCAAGTTGTCCGTTGTCTCCATTGTTCTCGGTGCCTTAAGTTTGGTACCTCCAAATCTGTTGACTGACATTGGGAGAGTACCCGGGTTTGCTGCCAGGAATACAGTCCTTCTGACAACGTGGATAATTCAGCAGGCTGCAGTGTTGGGGAGTCTCCACATTCTCCGATACATTGTGGATGGGTTTGACTGGAGGGAGAAGTCCCATTCGCTGTCTGGGCTGCGTGTAGAGGAGACAAGGGCCCTGAGTAGATGATGATTCTAACCAGCCTGACTGTGCCAGGATCACCCAAACCCTCTTTGCTGCTTTTATTTGTTTTAATCTATATAATAATAAATAACAACCAACTATCATAACAACAAGAACACAATAAAGACCACTGTTATTTTAAACAACGATAGGCAATCCGCTACAGATCTCTTTCAATGTTCAAGCATAAAAGGCACCACAATGCAATACCTCAAGACAACATTTCGCCGTTGTAGGCACAGAAAGCAGAGTGTTTGTTGACAACAGCGGCGTTGGTATTGATCTGTATATGATTTCCAATAGATTGAGTATCGATTATTCTGGTTATTTGTGTACCAAGCTCTCCGCGTAGCGCCTGAGGTTAAACGCGGATAGAGCTGTGTACATACGGCCGAGTGTGTGGCGAGGAGAGTGATATGCGTAGATCTCTGTTGCCACTTGTTTCATATTTGCCGCTTGAAAACATTTGTTTTAATTGTCAGTCAGGACATAGAAGGATAGGAATTAACCACACTTTGAAATTAACCACTAAAATATGTATTCTGAGTATTGTGTTATACATATCTAAAAGTTGTTTTGAGGTATATAACCACAAGTCTCTTCAAGCAACGTGAATTTTGATTCAAGTGAGTGAGTATGGTTTTACGCCGCTTTTAGCAATATTCCAGCAATATCACGGCGGGGGACACCAGAAATGGGCTTCACACATTGTACCCATGTCGGTAATCGAACCCGGGTCTTCGACGTGACAAGGGTGAGTGAGTGAGTGAGTTGGGTTTAACGCCGCTTTTAACAGTATTCCAGTTATATCGCGGCTTGTCAGCTTAATGTGGGAGGAAAGCCCGAAGTGATGCAGGTCTTGGACGTTTACCAGTTCACAATCATAGGTTTCTGGCATGCCCAAGGGACGCAAGTCTGCACAGCGAATCGCGGCGCCTTAGACGACTGGGCCAACCGTGCCCCCACGTGACAAGGGAACGCTTTAACCTCTAGGCTACCCGACCGCCCCCACTAAAATAAGAAAGGCAGGGTCGAAACTACCTTTGTATCCAAAAGGAATTGCTTACACATAAAAAAAGCACAATTCTGTTACACATAAAGAGCAATTTTTTATTAGTAAACTTTAATTTATCATCTGTGCAGTAAATTATTAATACAAACTCTACAGAGTCGACATGGTATTTATTGTCCAACTTGAAAATCGGAATCTTTTCGCACTCGAATGAACATGTAAAACACCCAAAAGTAATATCGAATAGTTTTAATGTTCAAATTTCATTTGTCATAATAGATATTTCTTGAATGAAAGTCGAAAAATGTGTTGGAGGGGGAAACACGTATAATAAAACATAATAAATAAAATAACAATATAACTCTCACATAAAAGGGTCCCAAAATGCAAATAGCGTTTAAGAGCATCTAATTATTAAAAATTCTGGGGGAGCATGCCCCACGCCCCCCTAGCGGACCATCGTAAATTTGGTTTAGCTTACAGTTAAAATTAGCCAAGTTGCGCTCGTGACAGGATAGGCTGTGCTACAATGATGATACTACTTGACATGGACGCCAGTGTGTATCCCGAAGATAACTGGAGGTTTTCTGGCTAGGCACTCCCGATACAAACATGCATCACCGCGTCTGCATGGTGAAGTGCGTCCGCGATCCCCGGTCGCGTCATACCAAAAGACGTTTAAAGATGGTACTTGTTGTTACCCTGTCTGGTGCATATTAAGGGGCTAAAGCAAGGACTGGTTGCCTCGGAGTCAATATACTGTGTCTGAGTTGTGTATTCATGTTAAACTGGGGCATGGTATCTCAGTGGGCTAGCACTATAAATCGGCATCAGTCCGGACTAGTACAAGCAGCCACTAACTCACACACACGTACATGCACGTCGCTATATAAGTGCAATAATCGTGGACGCGACGTTAAACCCCATTTCACCTCACCTCACTATAAGTATATTACCTCAAATTACAAAACAAATCAACAAAGATTCCATTTAATACAAACAAGAATTATTATTTAGACAGCAATATCAGTGTTGTATCCGGGTCGACTGAAAGTTGAGAGCGTCCTGTGATTATTTCAACGACGTGTTGATGGGAAAATCTTAGAATGATTGCGATCTTGACGGGTATATCTAAGAATAATTTGTTAATCTGGAGTTTACACGACATAAGGCTTTTCAATTGGACGAGAGGTCGGTCATCCGACCGCGTAATTGACGTTCATAAGTGTATGAACGACCAAATATGACGGACTACTTCCACATTCCTGGGGAAACCCCTTGGAATTCCCTAGCACGAATACATACAGAAGCGTTCTCTCTGATTATTTAGACCCTATGATCTTGAACTCAGCGTTTTGGTATACATTGGGAAACGTCAGAGGGTATGACTGCACGATCGTTCACGAATGGCCTCGCTACGACCATCCTAGTGAACAAAACGAAGAAATGCACATCCAAACTATGGCAGTATCGACTTGATCCGTCTCTAGGCTGACACTGACAGTCTACAGCAATCTACGAGTTTACATAAGACTTAGTGTCTATTTGACCCATCGTTAATCATCTATCAATGATCGACCAGTTGATCAATGATGACTAGAACATGATACCACCATAAATTCATTTGCAACTCCCGAAATCTCACCCGTCACGTTTATCGTGTCGGCCATTTTGACGTCTTGTACTTGATGTACATGTATTACAACGCGCTGTCATTGTGACTGACTTACTGAGGTAGTTCTTAACAGACCTTTCTCATCTAATGGTGATATCATTTGAATACATGTGTTGCGTAAGATGTTAATGAAGAGCAAGTTGTGCATCAATACGCCCATGTCATCTCTCTTTTTGAGGAACTATTTTATTCCGTCGCAAGCTCCGACGTTCATACAGTTTGGCCCTCACTCTATGAAGGTTCATATGAACTCACACAAAGTGAAAGTCAATTCTTAAATGATTGCGATCTTGACGGGTATATCTGTGAATGGTGGTTAGATTCATAGT